TTACAGTTTGTGCAAAAACATTTAAAGGTTTCAAGGACTTTACATTGTAAGTTCAACCTCAAGGCACATACATGGAACAACATCAATATTTCATCATGAGAACAAAAAAATTGAACTTTGGTTCCTAAAAATATCTCGGTGTGGATGGCTAATGTAACACTGCCGCGTCTAAATGAGAAGCCAGTATTCCAAACATAGCCATTTTACATGCACTGTAAATTTCCAGCCTGCTTCCTCCAAACCACTTCAAGTAGTCTGCGTATGGTCGCTCACACTGCACTTCAACCACCTCTGGGTATTTCCTTAAACTGGGGGACAAAAAAAAGGCCAGTCCAAACCCCAATGTGAGAACAAAATGAAAGGCTATGCAGCTAAATATAGTTCATGCAAAGAAACAAAAAATATCACTGACTAATAGTTTTAGAACAGATTTTATCAGTAGAAAAAAAGGAAATGAGACCTTAATCCTCTTGTTTTTTTTGTGTGTAAATAAAAAAAACAACAAAAAAAACTATTTTAGGTGGCAGATCCTTGTGTTGGTTTTAGGATGTTCACAAAAAAAAAAGGAAAAGAATGAGAAGCTGAACACTGAAAATATTTAATGTTTGCTTGAAAATATGGAATTTTCTATTTTGTGATCACGACTGGTTGAAAATAAAATAAAATTTGGTTAAATGTCATTCTGACATTAACAACATAAAAATATTGGCAAAGAAGTCTGCAGGTTTCAGTGCGTGAGTTTTCTCTTTGGAAATAATTAAAAAGAAATAAAAATGATGTCTATTGATTTCTCTTTGTGGTCAACATAAGATAAATAGAAATTAGAATTTGCTATTCTTTAGAATATAGAATAAAATAAAAAAAAAAGAAACAAAGGAAACAAAAAATGGTCTGCTTTATTCAAACCATCCACATCTGAAAATGCACAAAAAATATTTTACACCCCCTTTCAGCCTTTACAGTTGTCTAAACTCTTTTAAGCTTTAGATAAATTTTATGTTTTATTGTTTAAGCACAGGTTTTACGTAAAAAAAAACAAACAAACAAAAAAAAAAACTTTTGGGACAGCACCTTTTATGTGTTTGTGAGAAACAGCGCCTTCTACAGGCTCATAACAAGATCCTCAGAATTACAATAACTAAACAGAAGAAAAAGAAAACAATTAATTTCTATGCTGGTGGGGTGTTGTTTTTTTAAGTATGAGAATTAAATATGTATGTATGTTCGTTTTCCAATTGTGATATTTCAGGGATAGCATTCAAAGAATGGTAAAGTAACGAATTTTAATAGAATATTTTTAATTTTAAAACTAAAAGCAAATCCTTCTTTTTTTAATCATTGGAATATTCAGCAAAATATCCAAAGGCCCGATAAAAAAAAAAAAAAAACAATTTCATTTTTATTTATCTTGTGAAATAAATGTTCTTTTTCCTTTCCCTGCTTGGGATTTCATGTTTGTATGATTTAAGAAAAGCCATAGAAAAGCCACATTTAGAGCTCTACTTATCTGTTGAAGACATAAAAACGGTGTATTAATTGTATTTATTTGCAACAAAAATCCAATAAGCCATTTATTAATTATTGGTTTCATATAAGTTTTATATAATGCATATTAAATAAACATAATATGCATGGACTGCGAAAAAGTTAGCCTTTCACCACCTCCATAGATTAAAAAAGGAACTCAGAGCTTCCGAAAGGATTTTTTTCCCATGATGCTGTTGGTCCCAACACTGATGCCACATCATGTCAGCAAAGTTTAAAAAAATCGCAAACCATAAAACAACTACCACAGCTCCTCACTAACTGCTCAGGCAAGTTTTTGGCACAATATGTTAGATCAACAGTCCTCGATTTGCTAGTGTGTTTCATGTTAGCCTGTCAGAAATGTGCTTTCTTTTTAGCTTTCTTGTTGACGTTTCTTCTCATCTTCAACCCATTTAACCACCTACAGCTCAACACTCAGTCCAGCAAAATAGAATAAGGCAATTATCTGTGTTCGTTAAACATTCACCGACAGGGCAGATACTATGTGGCAATGATTTGACCTGACATGTTTGACCAGCACGGCGCTTTCATCTCAAAAAGTGGGAAAACAAAGTTCATGGCAAAGTGTTACCGTGTGGGAGAATGATCAACTGGAACAGCATGTAAACAACAAAGCTTGGGGAATTTTCATTTAGATGTTTAGCAGGGCAAGTCTGGGTGATAATTAGGGCAGCCTGGTCACTGTTGGGCAATGTGAATTGGGTGAGCTGATATGTAAATATCACTGGAAAAATGTTTAAGTTAAAATTTGGGAGATTTTGGTAACCACAGAAGTTAATAATAAACGCATTTTATGACTAACTGGTACAATATTTGCTTTGAGTAGCTATTTCCAGACTTTTCACCTACTGGCCCACCAAATGACAGTAGAAGACAACTGGGTCTTTCAACTATTGGTTGAGTATAAAGTATTACTATCATTTTTAATAAATAGGTATTACTGTATAAAAAACATATTTTTTATTTTATTTAAAATTTGACCAGTTTTTTTTTATATTCAGGGCTTCCGCAAGTTTCCTTTGCAAATGGCTAATTATGGGTTCAGAAGTCATAATGAATTATTCACAATGTGCTTGATAAAGTTTGTTGGTCAGATTAAAAATACCACCTTAAAATAACTTTAAGCAAGTTTTAAACCACCTTTCTATTTAGTCTATACTGAAAATGTGATTTTATTGGTCCAATATATTTTAATCCTAGATGTTTTAATTAGCTGTAGTCAAATAAAAATAAACATGATAGAAATAGAGGCTTTAATTATTCTATATAATGTGTTTTACGTAGTGAATTGATTTGTCGAAAATAAATGAATGTTTTAATTACATTCTAACTTATTGACTATAACCGTGTACTCAATAATTAAATCTTTTTGGCACTATTATTGAATTGCTCAAAGTTGGGAACTTCCACTGTTTATTTGGTCTATAAATAAATTAACTGACCTCTATTGAAGCCCATGCAGCACAATAATCTCTTCTTAACTTGGTAGAGAAAAAAAAAGTCTAATTAAATCCACAGGTAAAATAATTAAATTAGTCAGTCAGTGTCCAGGGAAGACCTAATTGAAGCATAGCTGGAATTTATGTTCTAATTTTTGGTTTTCAGACGGAATTTTGCAGCTGATTACTTTGCAATATGTCAATTTACACATTTTATTTCATATGGAATCACTGAACAGTTAACATTTATGGAAAAAATGTTTTAAAGTAGATTTTAAAACAAGCTTACATTCACAAGCTAGTCAGCTGAACTCAGAACACGCTCAAAATATCAAGACCAGGTGTGAAAATTGAGCATAAATCATGGTTTGATTTCATCCACAAATAACCGGAGTGAAAAGACTAAATGGATGGAAAAAAATATTTTAATTTAACTTCCTTGCCCATTTTTTTATGATAGGCCAGAATTCTTTAGGTTTTAAAAAATTATACAATAAAGGCAGAATACAACGTTTAAATATAGTTATTTCTTAACAATTTCAACCTTAAAATCCACTGTGTAAAAAACAAATAGAGCAAAAGATGCAGTTTGAAGCTTTCCTTATTTTAGCAACCGTTTTTATTTCATAAAAATCTGTCACACAGAACAGCAGCAACTATGAGATTTATTTAGTAAAATTGCTTCCTTGGTGATGCTCCATTAAATATTCTAACTGACCTGTTTTACTAAAACCATTATGTGGTCAGTAAGCACAGCAATTAGCTAATGCGTCTGGGTTTTTAGCTGTTATCAAAGACGTGATGAATTTAAAGGTTATTCTTCCAAGCTAAATTTTTGGATAAAATGACTGAATCCCTGGCAAAAGTAAATTAATCCCTCTAACAGCTGTGTTTTCCCTAAAATTAATAATAGCATGTTAGAGTGGCCCAGCCAGTCAGGATTTGGAGCTAAAAATTAGGGTAATAGCAGGAGACCTTCCGACCTCAAAGTTTTTGGAGATCATCATCAAATATATTTCAAAATAAAAGTGGAAACACTGAAAAAAAATCTCTATAATTATAAAAAGGGGTTCATTTGAGTAGTGCCAAATAAAGATCTTTTCCACTGATTATGTTGAGTATTTTATTGTATAAATATATATCTTTAAAGAATAAAAAAAATTTTATTTTATATTTGATAAAATGTTTATATAATTTCATTTCCTTAAATGTCTATCCTTTTTTTGTAAGAAACAAACTTCTTGATTGAGGGGAAACAGAAAATACCAACTGGATTTTATGTGCAAAACATGAAAAAATAAATAAATCTGTCCTACTAGAACTACAATCAAGTGAAACTAATGTGGCTTTGCTCTGAGTGGATAGATCCTTCCACAGATTATCTCGATGATCTGGAATAAATATATTATGAGCCTTTCCAAGTTATTCTGCTTCAATGTTTCCACTTTGTAAAAATGTCTTTAAAAAAAAGACAAATCTGTGGAGTTTCACAAAGACATAAACATGCTATAGATCGAGCTTCATGAAGTCATTAGAAACATAAGCTCTGCAGATGGTTCTTTATGTGGGATTTTAAGTAAACTAGATGTTAATTTGTAGCGTCTCTATTTGAAAAAAATTTAATAAAAATACAAGATTTTAATATATCAAATAACGGCAATAAATGATTTAATCGCATGTTATATAACTTTTTGGCACTGGTGTTAGGAATGCCCTAAATTAAGCATGATAATGGTCAGTGTTGCCGCTGAAATTAAAATCTAATTAAACTAATTTTGAGACACTGAGTGTTGCAGTAAATCCCATCAGGGAAAATCTTTATCTGAAAGAAATCTTTCAAGCCCTTGAATGATATTCTGCTCCAAGCAAACGTCTAGAACCTTATAAAACGTGTTGGAGCAGGGACATCTATGGTGCCCTCAAAGAGTTACAGACTGTTTCCTCTACAGTGAGCTTCTTGCAGCCAAGAGAAAATAAGGTTGACATATTTTTCTCCCTTTTTTGGTAGGATTATGAGAAAAGAGGTGGGTGGGAATTCTTTAAGCTTGGCCCCTTAAAATCAAATTGTGTCAGATCAAATAAAGTCCTAAGTGCATAAATGGAGACCTCTCACATGTTGAAGAGCTGCCGCCGCAGCGTCTGAGCCCAGGGGCAGGAAAAAGGTTTTAATTGAGCCCATGCAGGGATCAGAGCATGCAGCCTGGAATGGAGGGTAAATCGGGTTGGACAGAGTGCGAATCATCCTTTCAGCTACTACTGCCGCAAAGAGAGCAGGTGCATTGTTCGAGACGAGCAAACTGAAAATCAAATAAGGCGTCTCGTGAGCGGGGACAAAGGGATAAATAATGATGAGATAGACGAGGTTCTCGGTCATGGCTCTGGATATGATCACGGGCGGGGTGTGAGCTCAAAGTAATTTCCTAATTCATCACTATGTCTAATAAACGCTGGGACAAGGATGAAATATGTGGGTGTATAATTAGCGTCATGTGTGAGACATATCCAAATTCATCATCCTTTCTTTTATTTTTTTTTGCTCCAATCTCAGAGGAATCTTTATGCTGTAGTAGAAAGCAGTGAAAAATCTTTAACATTTAGCCACCAAACATTGAAAATACTGTTAGTGTTAAATTATTTCCATGTCATTAACTAGCTTGACGAGCATAAATACTTCACACAATGCTGCCTGAGCATGAGTAATGCTGTCTGGGTAATCAGCTCTGGGGGAATGCTGGAGGTAATGTGATCTCACTGGCCTCACTAACATTACTTGGTCCCACACACGGTTGGATGAAAACCTGCCCCCTTGTGGCCAAAATCATTTAAAAAGTAGTATAAGGGCAAATTACAATTCAAAAGAGATCCTTTGTTGCTTTTAAGCATACAATTATTTTCTGTAAAGCAACACAACAACATGCTTTTTTAATAGGGTGGCACTTTTGGGAAATTTAATTACCACAGAGATTACATTTTTCCATCCATGTCGACCTGCAAGTGGTCACCACCTCTGCCTTATTTCCTGCCTAGCTGCTGTTAATAAGAAAGTGCACTTTAATTCCTTTTTTATTTTACTTTCTAGAAACAAACAGTATCATATTCCTTAAAAACACTGCAATAAGAAGTGTTTTAAAATCCACGTTATGTTCCACGGTGGCAAACCTAACGAAGGGGGATGATCATTTTGGGGTATAGGTACTATACACCAGAAAAGGCCTTATATTTTTCTGTGGTTAGCAAAGGATCCCAGCCCTCTAAGGTGGCTCTTACATTTCCGAGGCTGTCGCTACGTTCTCTCGGGAGCTACACCCGGGGTGTTGTGATTGTACAAACCCATGTTCTTGTACAGTACTGACCATTGAAACGACTTTCAAAACCCTGCTGGTTATAAAAAAAGAAAGAAAACACTTGTGTCTCTTTTTCTAAGAATAGAAAAGATAGCAGAGAATCCCACATTATTATCCACAGTATAAATTACATTGTAGATGGATCTTGGAAATATATATGGTACAGTAATATTTCACTAGAACTTTTTTTTTTTAGATGTCATCTACACAAACAGTGTCTATGTGAGCAGTTGTTTCATGTACGTGTCAGTAAGAGGGCTGCATCACGTGTGACAGAACTCTGTACTGGGCACGTTACTGCTCTTGCAATAGGCTATGCTGTTGTTGCTGAGGTGACAGTCTCTAAATCCAATGCCCCCGTTGGGCGTGTAGATAGGCTGAATACGGAAGTCTCCCTTGAGGAGCTGTTCATTGTTCAGAGCCACTATCTGGAAACTGGTCTCGGTCATCTCCAGTATGGAGTTGTCCTTCTTGGTTCCTGCCTCGCAGTAGTCATCTTTTCTCCGACCACGGTTGTATTTCCACTTAGTAGAAGCAGACCGACTCTTTCGGTGCATGTGCCAGCAGAATAAGCCCAACAGTGTCACTAGGATGATAAGAACTGCTCCGCCTATAATCCCAGCCATAAGCAGTGTGGAGTTCAGGCTGTCCTGCGGGGCTTGCTCACGCCCCGGAGGCTTAGTAGAAGCAGGCGCCTTGGTCCTAGCCTCGGAGCAGATAGTATCCTCCCCCGGCCTGTAGGAGTTGAGGGTGTCCAGAACATGAACACAGATCCGATACACCGAACGGGGCTCGAGGTTGGTGAGACTTAGATGGCGCTGATCTCCACTCACTGTCCTCTCCTGCATCCCTTCATTTTGGCTTTGGCTCCTTTTCACCCACGTAACTTTGTAGGCTGTGACTTTGAAATAGGACGCCCAGCTCACTTCAATGTTGGTGGAGTTGACCACGTGGAAGGAGATTTGAAGGGGATCCTCATATGGAGGAAGTGGTCCTGGGGGGTTATTATGGATAGGTGGTAAGGGAGGGGAGGGGGAGTCAAAGTAGTAAGGGTTAGATGTGGTGATGAGGGTGGAGATCATGGTGGTGATAGGGGAGGTGGTGGGTGGAGGAGGAGGTGTGGAGCGAAGGGTTGGCCAGGGCGTCTGGTCAGGGAAAATAGGACACTCTATAATATCCAATGTCAGCTCTCTGATTATCATGCCCTTCACCTTCTCTGGACTGCTACACGCAAATCCCCGGGCATTGATGGAGGATGGTAAAGACTTGAGCCACACCACCACCCATTTCACAGAGCAGTCACAACGCCAGGGGTTGCCACGCACCATGAGGCTCTTCAGGCTTGACAGCCCATCAAATACTCCCTGCGTAAGAGTCTGCAGCTGGTTGGAGGAAATATCCAATCTTTCTAGTCTGTTAAGGTCTGCAAAGGCTGCCACAGGGATCTGGTTGATCAGGTTCTCCTGCAGACTGAGCTTGACCAGTGACTGGCTGGGTAAGAGGGGCGGAGGAAAGGTGAGGGAATTTCGAGCCAGGGCCAGCTCTTGAAGAGAGCTCAGTTCCCTGAAAGTCCCTGGCGCAATGCCCTCATCCGTCAGTAGGTTCCCGTCCAGCAGGAGGCGCTGCAGACCTGTCACATTCTGAAAGGCCTCCTCTGCTATAACAGCAATGCGGTTCTCATCCAAGCGCAGCTCCTTCAACTCCTCAGGAAGGCCAATAGGAACACTGCTCAAGTGGTTCTTGGTAAGAAAAAGGAGCTTAAGGCTTTGTGCCTCCCTAAAGGCCCCTTCCTCTACCCCTACTGTAGAGATGGAGTTATCATCGAGGTGCAGCTCTTCAAGTTTACTTAACTGAGCCAAAGCTGCTCTGGAAATTGTTTGAATGTTATTCTCCTGAAGATGCAGGACTCTTGTGTTTTTGGGCAGATTGATGGGGAATTCATCCAGCTGGTTGCCATATAGAGAAACAACTTCTATGGATTCTATATTGTGAAATTCCACAGGAAACCCAGCATTGCTGATCTGGTTGTTGTGTAGGTAGAGGATTCTATACCCCTCACCTATCCCCATAGGCACTGATGTCAGGCTGCGTTCGTTGCAGTATATAAACGTTTTGTCACAACGACACACTTGGGGACATGAAGCAATTGTGCTGAACTGCATTTGAAGGCTTAGGATGACAGTCAACCAAAACTGCAAAAACGAGGCCCAATCTTTATTCCACGGTCCAGCCAGAAACTCCATAGTGGAAAAATAAAAGACAAAATTTAAACCAACAATAAAAAAGACTTTCCCTCCCCGAAAAAAGGCAATAAACTTTAGGTATCCACTAAAAAAAAAACAAGGTCCAACAAAGGACAATCGAGCAACAACGCAGTTAGTTGGGAACGGAGTGGGTAACAAAGACAGTAATCCTGTAAATGCTAGTCCTCAGCAGAAGAACGAAGGCCTCATTTGTGGTGGCGACCCCATCCATGCTGAGACGTCAAAACAATAGCAGGACCCTTCACTCCCTGTTCCATGCAGAGCTCAGCCAGAGCCAATTTGAAGACGCACAGTAGAAGGCCACCACAGGCTTCGTTCGCCTGTCCGTCACACACTGCTGGTCCCAGACCACCGCAGAGCCCACGGGGGGCGACGTTTGGATCCAGAGACCTGGGAAAATAAAGAAAAGCTAGATAAGTATTTCTTTCAGGAATGTTTATTCCTTTAGAAAAATAGGGGCCACTTTTTTTTTCTTTACCCCCCTCTCTCTTTATTTAACGTGCAAACACACATACAGTCACACACAGTTTCCAATCAATCTTTCCCTGTCTCCTGAACAGGAAGGCCAGGTCATATACTGTTTGGAATTATGCAGTGACTATGTTACAGAAAAAAGAAGTCTGATAAATATTCAGAACAGCTCTTGCACATCCGGTCTCACAGACATAAAGAAGGCTTTTATTCCCCTCGCGCTCTATCAAAGGAGGTAATGGAGCACTGCAAGGACACTCACTCATGGATTCACGGGGGCTTCTCTGCAACATTGGGGCTGCTTAATGGAAAACATGATAAAAAGAGATAACGCTAATAAAGACATCAGCTTTCTAAGTGCCAACATGGATGTACGAGATGGATCCTGGGAGGAAGAAGACAACATGAGGCAAAAAGATAGATAAATAAAAGCTGAACCTGTTTTTATGGTTTATTTTCGCTTTATTTCCAGCTGCTTGAGCAGACGTTGTGGGTAGAGGTGCACAAGTAAACACAACTGCTTACAGTAAACAGAAGCGACTGTTTTGCCAGTGGCCTGTGGAGGAGCTTGCTATTATCAGTGCAGACTGGAATGACATGCAGATTTAGGGCTGAGGATTTTGGGGGTTGGTGGGGGCGGTGGGTGGCAGTCGAGGAATAGAGACGCTGCGTGTCAGCTGCTCCGTCTCCAAGCCAGCGTGACATCGACGACATGCCAACCAGATTTGGGTAGAAAAATAATATTCCCTCTCCACCTGCAATTAATGATCAATACATGCTCATATTTTTGGATTCTGGAGGTTTTTGGAGACACTAATGAGCCCTTTTCCAGCTAGATCCATCATTCTAACTTTTACAAGCCATCAAACACCTCTTCCTCCATCTCTACATGACTGAAAGATTGTGTTCATTATCTGCAGCTTTCAGTTTTTACTAAAGCCCCTCCCTGTGTCAGTACAACAGTGGAAGCAAGGAGTTGAATGTTAAGCACTGCAGTGGCTATGAGTGTAGATGAAGGGTTCCTGCATGGTCTGGAGAAGCCAAAAAAGGCATAGATTTTGAAAATAGGCAGAAATATGTGCTTCTTTTAAGAAGAGTAGAATACTTTTGATTCGATAGCGTCTCGAAGTCATTAAAGCCAGAGGCTATTTTCAAGAAAACCCAAAAATATGATTGTATCCCCTTGTTTATTAACATTTATAGATAGATAGATAGATAGATAGATAGATAGATAGATAGATAGATAGATAGATAGATAGATAGATAGATAGATAGATAGATAGATAGATAGATAGATAGATAGATATAAGTAAATATAAGTAAATATTGTTTCAAATTAATATTCTAAAATATTATCACTGCTTTTACCAATATTTACAATTATTATTTTACTATATACAGTTTTTACCCTTTCAACACCATAAAAATTCCCACTGAATACCTTTTCGTTATACGTTTATACGTTAATACGTTTTCAAAACTGGGTTGACCCGCTAACAATCAGCTTTTAGCTCTTCCATTTGACCGAACAGCTGAGTCTGACCTCCTGCTGGCAAGGTGCGTGGCCACTTTCGTACACCACTGTGTGTCTGATGACAACATCAAGCTGGATAATCGTTGATGATGTCAACAGTGCGACGGAAATCAGGGAAGTAAATAATGGAGAGCAAGAGCGTTGTCAGTATTCTTTATTATTTCGCTCCTTCATCTGTCCGAATCCCTGTCACTAGTGTTGTTCCATACTTATAAAATGTAAACAGTTGTTTTGGTTCGTTAGATCAGAAGTGGCTGGCGCGGTGTGTTGACATCCAATGTCATATGTATATGGTGTCACATAATGTAGCGGGTAAACCCGGCTCTGGTGTTCCCACAGCTTGCCAATCAGAGCCGAGAAGATTTTAACACCGGTCGATTGCCGAGTGGTTTGACACGCATCAGTGAGCTCTTCCCACTCCCACTAAAAGCAGATTGTTCCCGGGTTTAAGCTGGGTTTTTCGGCCGGTGTGAAAAGGATATAATTCAGCTACGCACCTCTCTTTGCCATGCTACATCATTATCACTGTCACATAACTAAAAATAAAAACATGGCCAATCCCTTTCCTTACCTTTCCTAAAACAAACACTCAAAGGACAACTAGATGAAAATAGATATCAATCATTACTATCAGTCAACTTTTACAATTGATTGTTTTAAATAATGACTAACGTCAGCTAATACCAATGATAATTACTTTCTACTGTTGACTCTTTGCTAAAAAAACCAGTTGAAGCAGTTGCTTCAACTTTTCACCAGGTTTATTTTATGAGACTATATTGCCAGTTTGCACATCTAAAATATATAGACTGATCAAAGTTGAACATAGATTTCTGAAACCTTTACCCTGAGAGAAAATAGAAAGAAAAAAAAAAAAGCTTTTCTTTTTTGTGTGTTTTAGGGCAGCCTTAAAATTGAACAATCAAAAACGATTATAAACTCGTCAAACATTGACTGAACCAAACATTTTTCAATCATTGAAACCTTTTTTAATAGAACTAAGAAAAATACATTCTCAGCTCTCTGACTTGCTTAAAATAATGTCTACCGCTGAGCCCAAGATCATGAATCTTTTCTGTCTCAGCCTTACAGTACGCACAAATGAATGTTCACACACACACACTCACAAATATATATATATATATATATATATATATATATATATATATATATATATATATATATATATATATATATATATATATATATATATATATATATATATAGCATAATAACATTTTCCCTTGACATTCTTTCTTTGCTTGTTGTGGAGATGGAAGGCATAGACAGTGGAGCAATCCTTTGACACACATCTGTGATCTACTTTTCTAAATTGAAAAGAGCTAAATTTAATCAAATAAGCTTCAGGGGTGGTGGTGGTTGGGGGGGGTGGATAAGGATAAGTAACCACATGAGGCGATAAAATGCGGCTGAATCAACAGCAGAAGGCGGCAGCATCAACATTATTATGGCAGGGCGAATCAAACGTCACCAGGAATCCAAATTATAACCTTCAAAAGGCAGAACAAGTTTACGGGAAAACACCAAACCCTCCTAAAATATAAACTACAGACAGGAACCAACGCGCCAGGAGGCTTATTCTTTCTGTTTTAATCTTTTTTTTTTTCGTCTTTTCTTTAATTTAATTTCCAGTTGAGGGAGCACAGTTTCTCACCACCCAGATGAACGCTGTGATATGCGACCAGGACAATCCGATTAGAAGTGGGTTTAGCCTGAGACGCAATTTACAAAAGTTTTTTTTTTCTTTTCCTTTTTCTAACGGATCTGGGTGTTTAGAAAGAGGCGATCAGGTATGCTTCAAAGTGCCGCCCAGTGAGCGCTGCTCATCTGAATGAATTATTTCTAAAGGAAGGGGGCAGGAGAGCGTGTAAAGCTCCTAAATCCAAAAGCAGGAGAAAACAGCAGAAAGCGCAGTGATCTTTGACTTGATCAAATATCTAATTAACATAAATTAGACATTTGGAATGGATGGAGAACATTTTTTAGTGATGGACGAAGAGGTTAAGTTGTTAAATATGTTTTAGGATCTATTTTTTTTTTAAGTCAACCTAATTTAGGCCGGAGCCATAGATGGATTTATTCATTTATATATTTTTCACCTGTAAGGGGTTAATATAAGGCGTTAACCGTACCTTTGGCGACCCCGTGTCCATCTCGATCCCCAGAAACGCATTTAACTTTTGCTCTCTCTCCGAGCCTCCGTCCTTCATTCGCTCTCTCTGTAAGTCCGTGCGTAAAGGGCTCCGATCAGCGGCTTGGACCCGGCGATTCCCCGGAAAAGCATATTATTATCCTGCATGGGTCCCCCTGCCGCGCTCTCTCTCGTCCTCCGTGCGCACTTTTCTTCACTGAGTGTGAGTGTGAGAGTGAGTTAGTGAGCTCCGCCGCTTCCACTCAGCACAGTCCGTGGCGCACCGGGACACAGAAACGCGGCTCCCCGCTTGCACACAGTCTCCGCGCAGCCAGGACGCGCTCTCCTGATCCAACCCTGGCCATGCCGCGGCCAACTGCGTCCGTTCGTGTGCGCAGTAAAAAAAAAAAAACAGGTTTAACTCTTCTTCTGCCTGCTCAGCTCAAAGCTCAGACTCCCTGCGAGCTGCTCTCCAAGATGGATTCAGTTGATAGTGCGACGTGCCTGCTCCGATCACCTCTCCCTCCTCTCCCTCTCCTCCGTCCCTCCGCCCCCTCCTCGCGCTGAAGAATGCTTCTCCTGGCTCTAAGCCACAGATCCTCAAACGGCACAAAATAGTTTGCCTCTCAACAGACTCGATCCTGACGCGGTTTTTGACCAGCCTACCTTACCCCGCAGCGATAACACAGCCTTCATTTGCGCTTTATGCGCAAAATCCAGGCTTTCGACTTGGAGTCACATCCACGGTGATAAAAAACGTAGCCACACAGCAGATTCTTTTATTTCTCTGGATTAGTGGATTTCCTTGCTCTATAATAAAACGTTAGCTGCAGTATTCACAATGTGGGGATACTTTATGATTGCTCCAAACTCTCTTCAAAGTTTTGGTTTAGTTGATTTGATCAAATAAAATCCTTTGGAACATTCTCAGAGTTTCTTAGATAACAAGAACAACCGTACGCATAAAATAGTTTAACAGAAATTTATAAGAATTTCTGGCTGCATTATTTTTCCTGGTTTGTTCTCTCTCTGCCATGCCAACCTGTGCACCTACAGTTCTATTGCAATTAGATAACCAATACACACCTATGTTGTGTTTTTATATAAGGAGCTAATACAAAAACGTGTATAAAATAATGCACTGATGTTTAAAGGTATAAAAACGCCCCTGCAAAGCAAAAAAGTAACCCTTTCATTTGGAGCTAAATAACAATTAAAAGCTGTAAAAGGGACACTAACCTCTGTGGTTTATTGGCTTTTTTCAGTGTTTATATGTTGCCTAACACCTGAGGGCACCCACTCCCCTCAGCTGGAAATGCAAATAAGAAACAGTTTAGTTTGCAACGGATTTTTTTTTTCACATGTGCCTCCCAAGGAATAGTGCCTGAATGGATTTTACTCTCAGGAAGATTTTGCCCATTCACCTTTTGATGCAGAAGTCTACTTTATGAGTTATCTACTTTTTTCGTGAGGTATATTTCCACTGCCATAATAGTATTTTTATAAAGAGACTTACAAAAATATTGTTCTTTCCAAGTAGTTTAGTCGTATTAGGCAAATAACATAGTTAGAACAGCTGTCAATGGAAGACTGCTATTTCTATAGATGTTGTTGCCATGTATATTATTATCTGTTTTTTCATGTGCCGATCAAGAAAGAGCAAAAGCACCTGTATCAAGAAGCTCAGCTCTGTCTACTTCATTCAATGTTTTCGCTTCAGCCAAATGATGCATTTATTTACCCCAGAGGTTGTTTACCACATGCTGGGTTCAGATTACAAGTCTCATAACCAGTGACATCAGAATCTGCTTGAGCAAAAGTTTGAGCACAAAATAAGGAATGTGACTTAGTGTTACTCAATGAAGGCTTTTTTAACGACAAAAAAAGAGTTTTTAATTAACAAATGCAAATATAATGAAAGGGTAAAAACATAAATATAAATGGTATAGATCGTGACACTGTTATCAGTTCATCGGAATGACAGCCTTGGGGAAGAAACTGTCTCTGTGGCAGCTGGTTTTAAATATTACTCTGCAGCTCTGACCTGAAGGTAAAAGTCTAAACAGTATGTATACAAAATCAGTGGATTTGATAATTGGTTTTCTAAGTGACTTGGCTAAATTGTCATTAGCGGAAAAAGGCAACAATGATAAACATTTTGTATTAACAAACTGTATCTAAATACTCAGAGGTTGTAGCGTACTTTGCATTTAGGTGATTTAAGGAAGTAAAACATTTCTATGGTTTTAATGAACAGCAAAGCAGCAAATGTTTAGTTATAAAACTGAGGTTAGTGAAAGATCATGGAATCATCTTGCATTTTTTTAAACATTCCTCCAAAGCAGAAACTAGGTTCTTAGAACACCACAATCCCCATCTTAAATCTAACAGTGAGGAGGTTGAAAAAATAACTAAAAAGACCACCACTGCAATTAAAAACAGATTAAACGTTATGTATTCAAACTTATTGGGAAATAGATATAAAAATATTTAACACTGATCCCAAACATTCATAGCTCAAACTTTCACTATGTTTCATGATGGATGAATTCAATATTTCAAACTAATTATGATGCATGTAATCAACTATAAACACACACAACCATAGAGCAAAACGCTTCTTCTCGTTTTCTCCAACAAATCCAAAATAAAATCAAATAAAGGGAAGAAATGTGAACATTTCAAATTTTATTCAACTAGTTAAAACCAGAAGTGGTGTTTAGATAATAACTTTTCATCCCTGGATTTTTTTTTTGTCCGAACATTATCACACAGTTGTTGTCATTGTTATTCAGGTATCAAACAAGTGCATGATTCGTTTTGCTGTTCCTTTTCATAGCCTGAGTTTTACATCTTGAAATAAAATGTAGTGACTTTTGATTGAGTCCCCATTCATCTCAGTCATTATTTTAATTGTTCCCAGAAAAAAAGGCAAACACCAGGAAGCAATTACAGCCTCAGCGCTGATGACATTTGTCTGGTAAATTGTTTGTTGCAGCACTCTATGCTCTCTCATGTGAAGAGGGTCACTTTATACTCTGACAAACTGATAACCGCCTTATCTCTTCACCTGTCCACATTCTATACTGTCCTGTCTGTCTGGTACACTCTTTGTGTTCTCTGAAGCTCCGCTTCACCCTTGCAGCCTCTAGTTCTTCTTATAAAAATAATGCATTTGTAAAACAACTTACACATTTCTGATGTCTTGGCCAGATCTTTAAAAAAACTGAGTTTAGTCAAGATTCTATTCTAAAATGTGTTTGCATTAAGTAAAAAAATAGATATTAAATAAAAAAATGTATCACTAAGATAAAAAAAAAATTAGATAAAAAAATATCAGCCTGGTGTTGTAAATATGTAAACATGTAAGATATAAGAAATTATTTGAATTAAACTTATAGAGAATGCATTTTTTCCCCCATTTTGCTGTATAAGCTTCACAAAGCACACAGGGCTGGAGCCCTGCATGTGAATGTTTTAGGAAGCCAGTGGTAAAACATTAAAGCCATAAGTTACACACTGGCTCTGTTCAGTACGCTCAGGGGATTTACTGTTACAGCCTTGGTCTTCTAATTTATGATTAAGAGCCAAATATTTGCTAGTATTTGACACTGCTTAAAACCCTAATGGTACTAACATGACTCTGATCATATCATTAGCATTTTTCATCATGCCATATAGAGCCTGGGTGGATTTTAAAATGTTGCCCATTCATCTTTTGATGCAGAAAATTGCTTTATGAGTTATTTGCATTTTTTTGTGATTGTGACTCTTAATTGTGCTATTTCTCATGAGAGGTGTATTTCCATTGACAGCAAATAAAGCTAATATTTTTTATGAAAAACATTTTTTAAATGTAAGTTCAACTCTTTTTAATTAAACTTATAAAAAATATTGTTTTTTCTAAGAGGTACAGTAGTATTCACCAAAGTACTTTGCTGGAAGATGGTTGTATTTCTATAGCTGCTGTTGCATTGATGTCGCCATGTATTTATTATCTCTAGTAATTGGCTTTACATGGATTTTATGAGAAGAAATGAAGAAACTCCAAAGGCTAAAGATCAACCCATATTTTGTGCAGTATCTTAAGTTCTGGGAAATGGCTTTAAAGAACCTTTTGGCATCTTAATTTTTGTCATATTTCACCTTTAATGACCACCTCACCTTGTAAGTTTTATTTTTCTATGCACTGTTTATGAGGATCCATAAACTGCGAAATAATAATTAGCTAAATTATTTAGATTTTTTAGGTTAAGCTTGAGATATTTGGAGAAGCTTCTTGCATTCAGTATGTTATGGGGATTAGTTGAAGTACAATATACCCTTTCTGTAGTTTTCATACTAAAGGGCTGGTTATACTCCCATTGCAGTGTGTCGCAGTGAGCTTGTCTCAGATATTTTTGATTTATGCCCAATATTAAAGTGTGGTCTGCGCTATGTTATTCCACATCACAATGCAAGAGGGACAATCAGGAACTAGCTGTGGGTCTAGATACGGCCGAGGAGGTGAGGAAGTCGGGGCAAGTTTGTTCGACAACGGAGGGACATGAGGGCGAAAAAGAGCAGAGATCCAGGTGGAAAAAGGGTCCCAGCATTCTTGCACACCTCACTCTTCTAGCTGGTCCATCTTCACGAGTCGCTTTCCACAATGGCGGTCATACAAACAAAACAAGCTGGTTACGTACAGTACCAAACAGGAAATACGCATAGTGTAGAAAGGATGTAGAATTGACCAATCAGAGGCCTCCTGTCTGCGGCACTGTCTGCGGCCACCTACAATTTTTAAAATAATTTTATAAAAGAGAGGTGCACCGGAGTGGCTGTGGCATGGGCGGGGGCACATTTGCGTTCACTGTGAAACACGTGCAGACAACCTAGTTTCTGACTGTAAATCAGGCTTAATCACCTTCAATATTGTAGTAAAAAAAGTAATTTGTAATAGCCTGATCCCCTCAGCCATCACCTTTTTAAACAACAGGGCCCGTTTAGTCGATCATGTCTCGTATCGCGTCTTGTACTTGTGCTGGTGTTGGTGTTTACTCTGGTGTCTTTTTTTTTTATGTCTTTGTGTAAACAAGCTCTGTGTATGTGGAAAAGAATCTCCCCTTGGGGACAAATAAAGTCTAAAGTCTAGTGTGTGCAAATATTACATATAAAACTGAAGACTCCTTTATTTGTAAAGTCTGAAAACATTTTCTCTTATATTTTCAAAATGGCCCCATTTGTGCTTAAGAAAAGGCTACTATTTCCTGAAATCTTCAGTGTTTATAGTAAACATGCACTGGTTACACTGATATTACACAAGATTTTCTGTGTTTAGATAGACGCAGTGATCAGAAATAAAGGTCTCAGCTAACCAACTTTTCTCTTGATTGGCTCCGTTTGATGAACAAATTACTTAAAGAAATAAGATATCTTTTTCTATTCTTCATGGATGACGATGGCTGTGGAGGTAGGCGTTTCCTGTCACCTGTAGTTGCCAGTTTAAGCCATCTGTCTCCTTTGTTGTGTCCTTAGGCAACACTTCACCTGCCTTGCTT